GGGGTTGTCTTATAGGAACCTTGAAATCCCTTTCAATCGTACCTCTGAAAAATGAGATTGTACATGATATCATCCCCACCAAGTGTTTACCCAGTGATATGTATGGTGAGTGATGAAGCAGGCTCACTAACAGGAGCAAGGTGTTTGAATCATGAACCCAACTTACAGCGTTTACAGAGGTCAGGGTTGTCCTGAGGGCCACAGAGATCTGAGCATGAGGAACTTTCCTCCATGGGCCCAAGTTCTGGCAAGGGAGATACAGTTGGAAGACACTGTCAAATCCTAGAGCCCGTTCTTAGACCAGACCTCCACAGCATCCAAGCTGCGAGCCTTGGGCAGAATCTTGGAGCCTGTGGCATCCAAGCTGTGATACAGAGAAAGTGTAAATTTTTTTTAAGCAACCCGGCTTCAAATTTGATTCCACTTTTAAACAATGTAGCCAAAGGGCAAGGCCTGGGGGATGGATGGTTGGTCCCACATCCAGAAGAGAAAGACAGGACACTGTGAGGAGAAAGGTGTCCCGTATTCACACCTTCAGCCAGGGGAGGTGAGATCAGCCTCTGCACCCAGGGAGCCTCAGATTTGGTCACCCCTCCTGGTGCTTCCACCTATGCACGCTATAACTATGGGACCCGGGGCTGGCTACCATCCCTGAGATTGGACCTCCTACCAGTTATGTTCCCTTTTGTCATCCCGATGCCCCTTACAATGGTAAGACATGAGAGTGCTCACCTGGAGCTAGAGACCAAAAGACTTAGAGAAAGCAAAGTTAGAGTCTGCCCAGGCTGAACAGAGCCACACCCTTTCCCCTTTGGCACAGAGGACAATTCTCCTACATCAGGGCATTGGGCATCCAAATCAGCATTTGATGAAGGGATGAGTTTGCAGTCCTGAGAGTGCTTCAAGTAGGGCTTATAGCCAAACTACTCAGTCCCTGTGCGCGCGCACACACACACACACACACACACACACACACACACACACACACACACACTCCACACACTCGAGCGCATGCACATTCTACATGAGACTTTAGTAAAGCTGAGCATCCACCATTCTGGGTTTTTTAATGCCTGTGGCTGGCCTAGCTTTTATCAGACACAAGAAAGCAACTCAGGACATTGCATGGAAGACGAACCTCCCATGGCCATGTCCTCTCGAGCAAGACACTATTATTCCATCTAACTCAGGAGTAGGGAATGGAAATCTCCCCAGAGTTCCCTATGTTCAGCACAGAAGCGAGTGTGAAATACTAGGCGGTTCTCTGTAACAACGGGGCTGGAGCTCAACACTGCTGCTGCTCATGCCCAAGAAGGTCCTCTGCAAGGACGGCGACTCATGAAGCAAGGTTCTTGAAAACCCCACAGAAAAAAAAGAAGTGCAGAGCCTGTTGGGAGCCGAGAACTGATTCCATTAGGGAATTTTTTGAGGTCCATGAAGGGACCAGCTCCCCATTTCGGCAGCCATAACAGCCAAACATATGCTTGTCTGACCTTGTCTTAGTTGCTAAGAGGTGGGATGCTTGCCTCGTGGCAAGGAACCAATCAGAAGTTAGCTGGTGGTGCTATGCTTTATGGCTCTGGGTGTGCTTTACGGACAAGTGCACAGCAATGATGCACAGAGCATAGCAACCGCGCTGGGAGGGCCTATGGGCCATAACAACCAGTTGACCAATCAACACAGGGCAAACCCTCCAAGTCTGGAGGCACACCAATCCTGAGCCTGTGTGTACCCCTAGACACTCCCCTTACACTGCCCTAAAGATCTCTATGCAGATGCTTGGAACTGTCTTTTGTAGCCATCCGCCATGGCGGGTGGGTGAAAGACCGGAGCTAACATGGGGTTAGCTCGTTAAACAACAATAAAGCCTCATGCTGTTTGCATCAAGCTTTCGACTCTGCATGGTGATTGGGGTGGCTGAGGTCCTGGGCTAAGATCCTGGAGGCCTGAGCTTTCTGGAGGTCTTACAGTCCATACCTCTGGAGCTCTGGTCTGCATTGAATTGTGGATGCCAGCTGATTTGCTATTGAACAGCATGGCCTCAGTGGAGAATGCCTTCTAGTTTGCATCTCTACAGAACTAAGCATTTGAAAAGTCCTGCACTAGGGCGGAGGGCTAGATTTACTGACAAGTGAAGACAGATAGTGAGGAGGTATCTGACGAAGGGGTCTACTGGAGGAGAGAGAAAAGGCCTCCTGGTCAGGGAAGCACAGTTAGATGACAGCCAGGAAAATGCTGAATAAATAAGAGACTCCAGTTTTGCAGCATGGAACTGAGAGCTCTCTAAAGATGACAAGGTGTCTGTGTTTGGTCTTTATCGCCATTGGGTTGCTAGGAGTTCCCAAGTCCATGCTCCCCGACTCAGGCCAAACTTCATGGCTTCCGTGGTTTGGGGCTGAGACATACCGGGCCACGACAAGAGCCAGCCAGGCTAGAGCGTGTACACACAGCCTGAGACTCACACCAAAAGTATGGACCTACGCATATACTGCTATCTGAGTTATGACTGGGATGGAGTTTTCCCTCAGTTCTTTGTTCTTGAAGGAAATCATTCCACTCAGAAACATGGACAGTTTGAGAAGTTTGTTAAAAGCAAAGCCAGGCAAAGGATGGCATACTCCTGAGAGCTTGGGACAAGCTGGCCCGGATGAGAAGACAGCAGCATGAATTTTTAGGTTTGATATTTGCAGAAGAGGTTTCATGCATATTTATGAGGCAGATAGACTAGTCATGGGAATCAGGTGGCCTTTCCCTGCTCAAGTCTTAGCAGATTGGATCTCCCCTTTAAGACTTTTTTCCCATGATCCTCTTGAAAGTCCACAGGAGACGGTCAAAACCACAATGCAGGAGGTATCATAAGTAAGCCAGGCTCTTTAGATGCTGCAGATTGCTCACTGGTGTGCACTGGCAGCAGCTGAAAACTGTCCTTGGCGCCTTCGCTTCTGATACAACAAGAGCTCAAGTGTGGCTTCTCATTACTGGACCTTCAACTCAGGGAGTGCTTTCAACCGTCAGAGACAAAGCTACAAGACACTGCTACAGTTCCCTTTCCTTTGCATCTGTCTTTCCAGCCCCAGTCCCCGCAAGTGAATCGTGGGGGCTTTTGACATGACCAGTGAATTAATTCATTAGGGCATTTACACTTTTATGGAATCATTGGTAGGTGGTGGAGACGAAGAGGCAGGCTGAGGAAAGTATGTCACTGAGGGAATGTCCTTGAAAGTCTCCTTCTCTGCTTTCTTCTGCCATGTCCTACTGCTGGGATGCTAGTGACTTGCCGTTGGCTAAAAAGCAATGGACCCAGGTGTCCATGGACTAAATCAGCACTCCTGTGAGCTAAAAATAAAACTTCAGCTCCCCTCCTTCGGTTGTTACATTTGTCACGGCAATGTTCCTACACCGAGGTGTTTGAACACATCAGCTGGGAGCATTCAGATTCATACCATGACAGTCCACCTCTGGTCCCAGAAGACGCATGGCCATCCAATCCTGCAAAATGGCTAACCCAACTTTGAGAGTCCCTACAATTTCAACAGTTTCAGTATTAGTCACAAGTCCAACTGAAGGGACCGGCTCCTCATTTCGGAGCCATAACAGCCAAACATGTGCTTATCTGACCTTGTCTTGGACACTAAGGTCAGATGCCTGCCTCGTGGCAAGGAACCAATCAGAAGTTAGCTGGTGGTGCTATGTCTTCCAAGAGCACAGCAATGATGCACAGAGCATAGCAACCACCCTGGGAGATCCTATGGGCCATAACAACCAGTTGGCCAATCAACACAGGGCAAGCCCTCCAAGCCTGGAGGCACACCAATCCTGAGCCTGTGTGTACCCCTAGACACTCCCCTTAAGCTGCCCTATAAGATCTCTCTGCAGCTGGTTTGAGCTGTCTTTTCTAGCCAACCATCATGGTGGGTGGATGAAAGACCCGAGATAACATGGGGTTAGCTCATTAAACAACAATAAAGCCTCATGCAGTTTGCATCAAGCTTTCGAATCTGCCTGGTGATTGGGGTGACCTCGGTCCTGGGCTGAGATCCTGAAGGCCTGAGCTTTCCGGGGGTCTTACAATCTCTTCTGAGACTCAAGGCACCGTTAACTATGAGCTCTTAATAAAACATTTACACTCTTCCAACACCCAATGGAACAGAGTAAATGGTCCCATTCTACAAGAGAGGAATGTGGTGTGTGTGGGGGGTGGAATAAGGAAGGGCTGAAGCAAAGCCATACCCCAAACCAGTAGGGCAAATATTAAACACTGTAGCTACAACCCAGAATTTAGAGTTGCTTCATTGGCACTGTTGGGTTCTTGTGGGATTGCTCATACTTACCCCTGTGGCCTTGCCACTTGCAGCACACATGACCTTTCACTCTGGTTCCATCAGTGCCTGTAGCTTTCCTTGACATACGTGCAATGCTCTGGGCACCACAACCATCCTAGGGTGTCATGGCAACTTGGACCTCATCTCCACTACCTCAGGCATTGACTATGAGGACGGCCCTGCATGGAATCAGTTTATGTGACATAGAACCAAATAGAAGCTTTTTTTTTTTTCTGGAACCCTGTGCAAGCTTCTGCAAGCACACCCCTACTGCATTCTTCATGCATGCTTGCAAAACCAGCAGCGCCACATTCATAACGCCAAGTTCTGTTGCCAACTCAAGATGTAACCCAGTTCATCAGGACCATGGCTACAATGGCTTCTTAGTTTCTGTGCCTTTGAATCAGGGAAACATTTCCCCAAATGGACATTTCAAGCAAGGCACCCTTTGACTATACTTTTCTCTTTTTAAAGACGATCCTTCCTTCCACAAGCCGGGTGGCGGTGGCGTACACCTTTGATCCCAGCACTCGGGAGTCAGAGGCAGGCAGAGCTCTGTGATTTTGAGAGCAGCCTGGTCTACAAGGGCTATTCCAGGACAGCCTCCAAAACCACAGAGAAACCCTGAGGAGGAGGAGGAGGAGGAGGAGGAGGAGGAGGAGGAGGAGGAAGAAGGCTGGGCATTTGTGGAGCCATGATGTGGGAACAAGGTATAGCTTGGGGCTTGAGAACATTTGCAGCCACAGACAAGGTGAGTGTGAATAAAGCAGATGTAATTGTTTAAAATACCAGTACAACTGTCGAGAAGCTTTACACGGTAGGAAAGGTACCTCAAGGAAGACAGTCCTGCTCCACTCCCTCCCTCCATCGGTTCCCACTAGAAAGCAGCCAGTGATAATTCCTCCACCTAACAACTCATTCCATTCCTCTTAGATTTGGCCTTGCCCATGGGAAGCAATGGAGCAAGAGTCTTTTCCAGACTGAAGCGTAAATGACCCTCACCCCGATTCCCAAGTCATCGTTGCTGCCTGAAACCTCGTGAGCACAGCCTCTGTTGCCCACACTTCTATTGGCATTTGGACTTTCAAATTTTCCACCACATTAACCCCATGTGCTCTGCTCCTGCCTTCTGGGGCTCCTCCAGCCTCTGCCTCCAAATCCTTCCATGGCTATGTCAGTAACAAACCAGTCCCAAAGGTGTAAGGACCACATGGTCAGATTTAGTTATACTAATGACCCCCTCCCCAATCTGGACCAATTCACTCCATCTGTTACTTTTGTCATTGTTGGGAAAAAAAAAAAAAACCCTCCCAAGAGAAGTAACGAGAGAGGGAGAAATTATTCTGGCTCATGGTTTGAGAAGGTACAGTCTACCGTGGGACACAGGACATCCTGGCTGGAGTGACTCCCTCCCATAGTGGAAGCGTGCGTGGCTGGCTGCGTCAAGCAAGCCTCAGAGCAGGACAGCAACAGAAGTATGTATAACCTTCAAGGCTTGTCCCTCGTAGCCGGCTTCATGCCCCAAACTTCATATTCCACAACCTCGCTAAACAGTGCTAGTGGCTGGCAACCATGTGTTAAAATATAATAGCCTGTGGGAGACAGTTCAGATTCAGCCAATAATCTCACGGGTTGCACCAGCCTTTTGGGAGACACTGATTTCATGCCAGAAATCCTATATGCCCTCTGCTACTTTGGCATCCTGAAAGCCCCATATCACATCTCAGGAAAATTCTAAGGTAGGTGATGGGAAGCCATAGATTCATCTCCAAATTAGCCAGTCCCTTCTTCGTGGAGTACCAAACCAAATCATCTCTGGGGTGGAAACTTCATGCTCTACACTAGAACCTAAGTCAGAGCCTCGGACTAAACATCCCTAGAAAACTACCCTCACTGGGATTTAGAAGCAAGATGTAGGTGGCTTCGGACCAGGGATCAGCCCATGGGGACTGCAAGGAGCCAGAACCCGGATATGGACCTTTAGATAGTGTTACAGGTAAAGACCACAGATAGGAATCTGGCCAGCAAGCCAACAAACATAGTCAATGCTGCCTCACCCTTCAGTCCCCGCTACCTTATTCAAGGAACCCAGGCCACTGGCACATGACTCCCTAGGTGTCCCCTAAGGACACCACTCTGTCCAGGTGAAATTTTCCCACATCCCCTGGGGTGCAGCCCCCAGCTGGTCTCACTCATCTCAGAGCACAGACTACAGATTCGTCCTCCACCCTCCACAAAACCTCAGGACTCACTATCTCCCCCCCCCCCCCCCCCCCAAACCCCCGGGCCCCCCTTCCCCCCCCCCCCCCCCCGCTGCTATCAGCAGACTCCTCCCGGAAGCTGGCATCCTCTGTCTGGCTTGCGGCCAGCGGTATGGCCCAAAGGAACGAGAAGCTCCTCTATATAGCTCAGCCCACAGTATGATCCTGTAGCTCCAGGGACCCGCAGGTGAGAAGAAATGGGTTTCCCTATGGAGGTAGAACAGCTGTTCTCCTCTTGCCCTTCTTTCCAGACCTCTTATTGGGGCATCTGGATATCCAATTCCCCGACCTATTTCCCTGGATTCTGAGTTCCCTAGCTTTCCCCAACATACCGGCTAGAAGCGACCCACACTGCACACACCTAGTCCTACCTACCTAACTGTATTCCCTCCGTCAGCCTTCCTTGTACCCAGGAAGTCCCCTTATGCCATCTCCATGACAGTCTCCAACAGGACCACAAGGCAGACTTATATGAGCCTCCCTCTCTCTCTGTTGCAGGCATGGGACCCCTGTGGAGCTGGTGGGCTCTCTGGGCCGGAGCAGCCCTCCTGTGGGGTAAGTCAGATTGAACCCTGTCCATGTCCTTGTTCGTATCTGGGAAGCTTGCCTGCCTGGCTCAGCATCTTTCATTTAGAGCCCTTCCATAATCCATTCCCAGGATTCCCCCAGGCCAGCTGACATGAAAATGAGAGCCTGTGAAAAAATAAGGTGGGATTTCCCTACCCTGCATTTGGAGTGTTGAAAAGTCTCGAGGCTTCTGTTTTTAGGACTTTGTCTACGCTTCCACAATCCTCATCTTCCCTTATTCCTCTTGGACACACCACGGAGACCTATTAACACAGAAAGCACACTGGCAGCTGAGTTCAGTCAGACTGTAAGCTCCCACAGCACGTAAAAGTGTGGGTCGGAGATTCCACAGAAAGCTTTCGCTAGCCAGCCAGCTTGTGCAGAAGGTAGCAGAAGAAAAACAAGACAACAAACCATAATCCCAGTCAGCCAAAGAGAACAGTGGCAACTTATTCTAGGTGGAGCACGGTGCTCCAGGGTCCACAGTCGCCACCTGGACTGTCTCCCACGTTTCCAGTCCTCGTCTGCTGCATTTGAGTTCAAGAGCCCCGTGCAAGCTGCTCAGGCACTGGGGCAGCAAAAGCCAGGAAGGGTTATAGATTCATGAACGCTGCACGAGTAGGGCAGGAAATAGGAGCAGAGGGGGAGAATTATCTCAGGAGGGTCTCAGGCCCAGGCCAGCGGGTTGGGTTTGTAGTGGGAGAAATAGGTAATGGACCCACGACTGCGTTTTCTTAAGGGTTGACCCAGGAGGCCACAGTGGACCCCAGGAACACTGGTGGGGAAGAATTCCTCACGGCCTTCCTGCAGAACTCCCAGCCCGGGTACAGCACCGCCGCTCTCCGCCTCTTCATCTCCAGTCTGTCAGAGAGCACCACCTCTGTCACCATCCTCAGCCAGGCCGATGACACCTCACAGAAGGTCACAGTGAAGCCTGGGGTGTCAGTCATGGGCAGCATGAGTGGCTAAGATGGCCGTCTACAATAGCTTCCAGCATCCCACGGTTGTGAACTCTGACCACACCATCACAGAGTGGACATTAAGTGCCAAGCCCAGGCTGGGAGAACTGACACGGGTGTGCCCTCTTGGAGCCCTGGAAGCCGAGGGCTTTGCGCTCACCTCCCATACCTCCCTTGACCGCCTTTTCCTGCCTTTCCTGCTTATTCTTCTCTGGCTCCCAGGACCAGCTGGCCAATGCCCCTCTCAACTTTAGCATCCCTGGCGTCCTTCCTTAATGCTCCCCTTTTGGCCAGGAACAAGATTCAAAATATTTACCAACCAGAGTGACCCAGAGCATACAAAGCAGAGCACGGTAGTGAGAATTCCCTCACTGGTCCAGCATCAATCTTCATATGTTGGTTTGTGGGGAGGTTGTGGTCCCCTGGGGAGACCAGGGAGCCAAAATAGAAGGATCTTTGGGAAGGCGTTGGTCAGTATTTTGATACCTTAGAAACTACTAGAGTTCTACCTGTTGCTAACTGCAATGCTCATGAGATCCAAAACAGTAACAATGAGGGCCGGTATGGGGGCGTCTCTGCATTCCAGCCTCCCTGGGTGCTTCATGAGCTTTGGCATTGTTAAGGGACACGATCTGGCCCTGTGTGGGACCTCGGGCTCAGCCCATTCAGAAGATGCCACCAGGCAGCTCCGGTGTTGTGAGGACACAGGGCCAGAGCCAGAGGGCCCAGGGTGAAACCCCAGCTGTGCCTGCAAGACCTTCAGTCTGTCATTCCATCTCTCCAGGCTTCAGTGTCTGTGACTCTCAAGTGGGGACCATGCCTGACACCCCCCACAGCAGGACTGTGGTGAGAGAGAACTAATGAATCCGTGTGAAGTCCTTAGATCAGTTAGTGGGGAAAGATCAGGGCGGTGCGGGGTGAGCTGTTGCTGGGGGGGGGGCGCAGAAGGAGAGAGTCCTTGAGGGCTGGGGGCTGACCAGGAAGGGCTGTTTCTTCCCACATCGTCTTCAAACTGGGAACCCAGACCCAGGGATTTCTCATCCTGACAAAAGCGCTATCCTATTTCAAGGGTGTTGTATAGTTGACTAGCAGAATAGGGTGGGTAAATAATTAATTGACTATAACAATTAATACTCAATCCTTGGGTTCAGTTCCAAATCTTGCTCCCATTTTAGCTTATTAAAACCTGACAAGAAACTTCCCCCCAAACACCCAAAATCCTGACAACACCCCCTCTCGGCCTCTGTGAAGAAGCTTCCTCTGGACAAATCAGCACACTTAGGCCAGAGCACTTCCTATAATTTACCCAGTGTCCTATGCTGGGTAGACCTTGGCTAGACCAAGGCCTCCTACACTGTGATTTTTCCATTTTGCTTGTGTCTCTGCCTTCCTTCAAAAAGTAAGTGTGTGTGTGTGTGTGTGTGTGTGTGTGTGTGTGTGTTCTGAATGTGTGTATCTGTATGTATGCACAACGCCTGGGCAGGCATGTGTGTATCTGTGTGTAAGCAGAGATACACACCCAGGCATGCATGTCTGGTATGCACACCAAGACATGCATGTGTGCATTTGTGTGTCACACCCAGGCATGTATGTGTGTAAGCAAGTATGCACACCCAGGCACACATGTGTAGAGGCCAAAGGTCAATGCCAGGTACCCTCTTCTGATCCCTCCCATCTTGTCTGCTTGTTTTTGAGATTCTGAACCTGGAGCTCTCAATCAGCTAAACTGGCTGACCAGCAGCCCCTGGGATGTGCCTGTCCCTGCTCCTGCCAGTCTCACTGAGCTAACGCTCTTGACGCCGTGCCCAGCTTTCACATGGGGCTGGGATCTGAACTCATGTCCTGTGCTTACACAGCGAGCGCTTTACCCGCATCCCACTGGCCCGTCTTC